GTAATAATGATTACAGAAAAAGAACATTTTGTTCCATGTTTATAAATGGTGACAATCATCACCACTTCTCACACTTCCACCATCTCGTCTTCATCTATATACTGGTATACTGTAAGCATTCCATTATTATTATTATTATTATTATTATTATTATCATTATTATTATTTTGGTGGTCAGGGATTACTCCTGGCAGAGTTTGGGGGACCACATGAGTTACTGGGGATAGAACCTAGATTGGCCACATGCAAGACAAGAACTCTGTACTCCTTTAAGCATTCCATTCTTTTTTTCTTATCTTTATTTAATTAATTTATTTAAACTTTTTTTTTCCTTTTTTGGGGGTCACACCCAGTAATGCACAGGGGTCACTCCTGGTTCTGTGCTCAGGAATTACCCCTAGTCCCATCATTTTCCATCCCCTACCCCGTGCCTGCCTCTATGTATGACAGGTGCTTTACTTTCTCTCTCTCTCTCTCTCTGTCTCTCTCCTCTCTCTCTGACTCTCTCTCTTCTCTCTCTCTCTTTCTCTCTCTCTGTGTCTCTCTCTCTGTCTCTCTGTCTCTCTCTCCTCTCTCTCTGACTCTCTCTCTTCTCTCTCTCTGTCTCTCTCTCCTCTCTCTCTGACTCTCTCTCTCTTCCTCCTTTTGGGCATTGTGGTTTGCAATATTGATACTGAGAGGTTATCAAGAATATTCCTTTACTTACTTTTCACACTCAGGTCTTGTCCAGCATGATCATTCTCTGCTATTATTGCCATAGCGGTCTCTTCTGTATCAGATTTTCTCCAGAAAGATCATTCCCAGCTATTATTATCATACTGGTCTCTTCTCTATCTTACCTACCCTCAGTCCCACACACACACACTTGTGATTCTATCCAACCATTGACCAGTCCCTAGCCATGTTTTCCCTAGCCATGGATATTAGTCTTCTAATATATATACCACAATATAAATATATATATATATATTTGTGGTATATGATATGTTTATATATCACAAATGAGTGCAGTCGTTCTATATATGTCCCTCTCTTTCTGACTCATTTCACTCAGCAAGACACTCTCTATGTCCATCCATTTATAGGCAAATTTCATTTTTAACACTTACTCACAGTGAGTATAAACACATATTCACAGCAAGTATAATAGAGGAACAAAAATGAAAACCCATTGCTCATAACTATAACAAAGGATGCTGTTTTGATCTGCACTTCGTCATTCCACAGTATTTCACTGCACTTGCTTGTCAGGAAATTGGGCTGAGAGTCGTTATGCACTGCAAATTTAAAAGGAACCCCACCTACCCAAACACAAACTCTTATATCTTTTCTTAGAAAGATATTCGTGTGTGTTGTATTGAATTTGTAGTTCTAATAACTTTGCCTGAAATGGGCAAACTCAGAGGGACCCCTAATTATTACTGAGATTCCTAGAGCCCAAAAAGATCTTTCCTTGTCCACACTTTAAAAACATTGCTCTGTGACAATGGATGTAAAAACTTCCAAATTAAAAATTAAATTACACAGTGGTCTTTCAACAACTGTCACTGACCTCCTGTTATTCATCGATTTGCTCGAGCAGGCCCAGTAACATCTCCATTGGAGACTTTGTTGTTACTGTGTTTGGCATATCAAATACATCAGGGTAGCTTGCCAGGCTCTGCCTGCGGGCTCTCTGAGAGGGGCGGAGGATCGAACTCAGGTCGGCCATGTTGGCTGTGTGCAAGGCAAACGCCCTATCCGCTGTGCTATCGCTCCAGCCCCTTTCAACAACAACAACAAAACTAAATTAAAAAAAATAAATAAAAAGCAGGGCGGCCTAGAAAAACCCTAAATGCGTGGTACTAGGACATTCATTAGTTCACAGATTCAGAATTTTTTTAATCAACTAATGCTGGACACCAGAGATATGAAAACCATTATCCTTGCACTCAAAGTTTCTAGCATTTCCAGTCAAATTTTAATTTAAAAAAATCAGTTTTTGAAAGTATTTTAAACAATTTGAAATTTTCTTACATGAAATTCAAATTTAACTAGATCTGAATCACTTACTAGATCTGGGGGGTCATAAGCAGTTTAAAACAGAGTTTGAGGAGTCTTAGGTAGTACTTAAGGTAGGTTTTATTCTCCAAAAACATGAGCATATTCTCTTTTCCCCCTGGAGTCTAAAGAAAGAGGAAAACTCAGTTTCCCCTTGCCAGGTGCAGAAAGTGGTTTCAATTTAATTGCTCCTGTCTACATTTAAACATTTCTGTGCTTTACTGATTCACTTTGAAACTGAGGGATTCTATACTTTTTCCAAGGTCATACTTTAGCAGAGTGGATTAAATTATGCCCCAGGCTTTGGGATGACTGATAGACAACACAGGCAGTGCCAGGATCAACAGTCAAAGGAATCTTAAATTACCAAATATTTCTTACAAAGATGACAGGCTCACTGGTCTAATTGGGAAAGTGGGTATGTTAAACTTCTCAACATGAAAGGGCAACACTTAACAGAGTATCTGTGGGAAGAAATAGGAACCCTCTGTTTCTTTGTAACAACAAAAAGCACAGAGTCAATTTTCCATAAAACCTTTTACAAAATTAGCCATACTTTCATTTATTCCTATGCTAAATTCCTTCCCTCCGCAGGGGAAGTTCCTTTCTCTTTTCCTTTTCAACAAATGTTTGTTTCTCTGAAACTGGGCATCTTAATTATTCAATAATTTCATTCCGGGAAAATACTGACGAACCTGGAACCGTAGAAAAGAAACCCTCTGGCAAGTACGGCGATTTTAACAACACAACACATAAACCAAGGAACTAATACCAGCTACGGATGGTTCTCAGGTTTCAAAAAGCAATACAGCGGCCAGCGCATTTATTTGCCTTGCAGGTGGCCCACCGGGTTCGATTTCCAGCATCCCATATGGTCCCCCAAGCACCGCAGGGAGTAATTCCTGAGTGCAAGGCCAGGAGTAACCCCTGTGTGACCCAAAAGGCAAACAAACAAACAAACAAAAACAGCTCCAACTGAAATACAGAGCCGCACTCTCCAAACAACCTGGGGCTGCGCCTCCCGTCAGAAGGAAACTACAACTCCCAGCAGCCCCCGCGCCTGCCCCGTGTTATTCCGGGGGCGGTGCCCGGCCGGCTAGTCGGTGACAGCAGAAGGTCGGCCTCCCCGGGTTCTGGGAGCCAGCGTGGATGGAGCCCTACGGCCGCGGTCGCGTCGCGCCGGAAGCGTGGCCGTCTCTGGACCCAGAAGAAAGCGGCGCGACCTCACGGGATGGAGCCGGCGTCCGGATGTGTCGTAACGACGTTCCCTCGGGGGCGGGGCCGCCAGTTCTCCCGCGCAAATTGAAAGGCCCTTCATTGTGCGGCGCTGCACCGCGACCCGGCTCTGCGTGCTGCTCGCGCCCTTCCTCTGGCCTTCCCGCCGACGTCCGTGAGGGACACCCGGAGCCGGTTTCCAAACTCCCAGCAGCTTCTTGAGCGCCCGGAGAGCCCGTCCCAGGACGTGAAGGTAGCGCGTAGTGCCGCGGCGCTGCCGGAGCCCGGTGGGGTTCTGCGTTCCGGGGCTTCCAGGAATGGGGGAAGATGGGACGCGGGCGCTTCTCGACTGTGCAGCCGAAGCCTGGAGGAGTGGAGCCGGGGTGCTGCCTCTGCGGAGTCGGTGGGGGCTCGAGAAAGCGCATCTGCGGGGCTGGGCTGCTGGTCTTTGAGTGATGAGAGCGCCCTAGAGCAGGCACCCGCGGAGCGAGCTCGGCTGGTATTTTTCAGCAGCTAGTTAGGACACTGTTGACATGCAGACTCCCAGCTTTTCCTTGATCTGCAGGTGACAGGACTCGGCTTCGCTCTAGAGTGCATCGCGGGCCCCTCTTAACCAACCCTGTGGACGAGACGCTGGAGCCAAGTGGGAAAGGCGCGCCCAGAAGGCTTCCTAGAGTGCCGCAGGGGATGTGGAGTTGACACGTGCCTTTCTGGCCCGCAGCGGGTGCTGAAAAAGAAGTATTTACCCGTAACGATTTCTCTTGCTTATGGAAAACTTACGAAAGCTTCACGAAATGTGAATTATCAGTTCTCCTCAATGCAGGAAAACTCTTTAGGGAGATTAGCTGAGAGGTAGAAGACTCTTTTCCCCTAAATCCTATCTTGAGAATTAGTTGCATCCACGTTTCTTTCCTGCCCCATGTTTGAAATTCTGAAAGCCCTTAGGTGTATTGCGAATCTGTGAATTTGAAAATTGCAAACTGCTGGACTGGAGCATCGATCTTAGAAACGGTAGAAACAGGTAAGACAGACGTCTGATCCTTTCTTCCTCCAGGCTCTGAGCTCAGGAATTACTCCTGGCGGTTCATGGAGGACCATATGGGATGCCGAAGATTGAACCCAAGTCCGCTAGTGCAAAGCAAACGCCCTATCCACTGTGCTATCGCTCAGGCCCCAAAGCATTTGTCTTTACGGGGGAGTCGGTTTCTTTCTTAAGGTGTCAGGATCAATTCTAGGGCCTTACACATGCAGTATGTATCTCAGGGCCCCAGAAATAATGCATTCTGGTGACAGCTAATTTCAATTCTAAAAAGTGCAGATCTAGTTCTGGTTTTTATTAAATTTTTCTACTAAAATGCTGAGCTTACACCTATGTGGATTTTGCATGTTGCCCTGTTGCTTTGTGTAGAGACAATGTTGATGCCATAATATGACCGGGTTTATAGATTTCAACAGTTACATTTGGAAAGGAAGCTCATTGTTAGTATATGTTACTATTGGAAAGCAAAAACATTAAGGAACTATCAAATGGCATTAGAGTGTAAATATTAGTGATTACAGACTGGAAGTTGCTTGACAGAAGCACATTTGAAAGTTCAAGAGTGGAGAGCTCTAGATATTTAAATAATGTCTACTATAATGGTATTCAAGCTTTGTCTTTGTAAAAACTTTTGAGTTAGTATATATTGGTTTAAATATTGTTGTTTTCCCTTTCCCCTTTCATACTATGTAGTTAACTCAGTACCATGGGGATACAAGGATTGCTGCAGTTTCTCAAAGAAGCTTCTGAACCCATTCATGTGAGAAAGTATAAAGGTCAGGTAGTAGCTGTGGATACATATTGCTGGCTTCACAAAGGAGCCATTGCTTGTGCGGAAAAACTCGCCAAAGGTGAACCTACTGATAGGTAAGTATGAACTATGTATTGATCCTTTGCCAATTAAAAATGAAACTTAAAATGCTGTTTCTTTTCCACTACTAACTTTGTAAATTTTTGTTTCTAGTTTTTAGTATTTACTCCAGACATCACTAAATTATGTGTTGCAACCATATAACCATTCTGTTGTATATATTACTCTATAAAATATTCAGTCATTAAAACAAGATTAAAACAAGATATGTGATATGATAAAACAAGATTGAGATATGATATAATATATGACATGATAAAGCAAAATTGAATATATAACAAGATTGTATATTCTCACACTCCCACCAGCAGTTCAGGAAGAGTTCCCCTTTCTCCATATCTCTACTAATGATCTCTTGGCTTTTTGATGATAACCATAGTAAGATGGGAAATTATACCTGGTTTGATTTATATTTCTCTGGTGATACAATGATGTTGAATATCTTTTCATGTAACTATATGTCTTAGCAGGAAAAATTGCTATTCAGATAATTCTCTCATTTTTAAATTGAATGGATGGTTTGGTTATTTTGCTATTGAGTTGTATTTTGTATATTTTTTTTAAAATTTGCAAATCAGACTTAATTTGCAAATATTTTCTCTCTTTCAGTAACTTACTCTTTCATTTTGTTCATGATTTCCTTACTGTTCAGCTATTTTTCAGTTTACTGTAATTCCCCTTTTATTTTACTTCAATTTTGGTTATCTGATCTAAAAAGCAAGTCTATTATCTTATGATATGCAACAGTCAAATATAGTTTCTTTATTTTCATAGGTATGTAGGATTTTGTATGAAATTTGTAAATATGTTACTATCTCATGGAATTAAGCCTATTCTGATTTTTGACGGATGTACTTTACCTTCTAAAAACGAAGTAGAGAAGTCTAGAAGAGAGTAAGTTGGTTCTGTTTAATTTTTAATTGCCTGAAAGTCAGGGATTTTGGTCATTATGATTCCCCTATTTTAAATTTTAACTTGTCAAGATTTGTTTATTGTCTAGTACATGGACATATGTTCCCTGGTTGCTTGAACATGGATGTATGTTTTCCGGTTATTGCAATTTAATTTGTATTTAGTAAATTGGGCTTATTGATTGTGGTAATCGAATCTCCCATATCTTACATTTGCGGGGGGAGGGGGTAAGAGCTATTTGTATTAATCCATCAATTACAAAGAAATGTATGTTAAAAATGTAGCTGCATTTTGTAATTTTGTCATTTATCTTGTAGTTGTAATTTTTGCCTTATTTTAAAGCTATTGTGCTACTTAACTTTAAATTTAGAGTTTGTGGTAAATTAAGATAACAGGTATAGTGACTTTTAATCTCTAGTTAACAATGTATTGCACTAAAGTCAGATATTAGTACAATTATAACATCTTTTGTATAGTCCTACTTTCTTTTTCTAATGTTCTGCATTATAATATGTTAGGTTTGTTATATAGTTTTTCATCTAATTTATCAGGCATTTAAAGTAATCCTTTATTTTGGCTAGAGATGTACCTTTCTTATATATGTGAGGCTCTGTGTTTGATCCTCAGTGCCACCAAAAAAAGTCTTATTTCTTAAACAATTTTATTTTTTGCCTCCGCTCTCTTTCCTTTATAGTTGTTGATGTTGTTGAGGTAATGGGGGCTTATGCACATGCTGGCCTACGGTGTTTGCACATTTTTTAGCTATGGCGCCCATTGAGGCTAACATCAGTTTGTACTGATTATACACTTGCCTTTTGGGTAGCACACACTCAATTGAGACATACTGGTTATGGTTGCAGTGCTTACTGGAGATTGCTGTGGTGGCTCACACACGTTTGGTCAGATCCTTCCATGGCACTTCTCTATCTTTTTACTTGTGGTGCTCATGGTGGGGTGGGTCAGGGATTGCACCCTTTGTGGTGCTTAAATATACCTGGTTGCAGTACAGCTGGAAGTCACTTGGGGCGCTGGAGATCTAAAAGAACTTCCAGTCTCAAAACTGCAGGCCTGCCAGGATTGCGTTATGGTGGTAGGAATTTGAACTCATCCCCATGTGCTTGCAGGGCAGGTAGTTTAAACTACTACATTATTCCTCTGGACCATAAAAAAAAGTTTCAAATATAGATTTTTAGTTCTTGTTACATTGATTCGTACATTTACATTTAGATTCATTTTTCTTTTACTTATCTTGCTTTTTCTTTTCTTTCATTTCTTCCCTACCTCCTTTTTCTCCTTCCAACCCTCTGTCCCTTCCTTTGTAAATGTAGTAAAATCATTTCTAGATTCAGGTTTTTCATACTTATTATAGTGTACTTATTTCTAGTTGAAAAATTATGTACTCTGTCATTCATATTTAACTTAAAATTTTATAATGGACTTTGGTGATCTTTTTGTTTTTGTTTTTGTTTTGGGAGGGGTCACACTTGGTGGCTCTCAGAGCTCATTCTTAGCTCTGTGCTCAGGGATCACTCCTGACAGGCTTGAGGGATGTATAGGGTACTGAGAATCTAATTTGGATTGGCCTCAGACAAAACAACTACCCTAAGCCCTGTACTATTTTTTTCCTGCCCCCAAAATGAGTCTTGAATTTCTGTATTTTAGTGAGTCAGCTACTTTGTTAATCACCTATTATTATTTTTTATGTATTTTAGTGAGTTTTCTACCACTCGTCTATTCTATTTCCCCCCCCCCACTATTAATGTACAGAAGTCACTTAGTAAAGAGGCCTTAGTTATCAAAGGTAATATCTATAAAGATATACTGAGGAATTATTTTGTGAGGGATGCTTAGAATCAATTTAGAGAGGGTTTTTCAGGTTTAGGTTTTTCAATCTATCAATTCTTGAGGACTTATTTTAATTCTTATTGTTAGTACTTTATAAAAGGTAGTGCTTTATAAAGGATTATCTGAAATTGAGCCCGTGTTCTAAAATGAATAAAATATAGTTTATAGACTGTTAATAAAGTTAGTTTTGACTGATTTCTAAACAGTCAACTTTTTTTCTTATCTTCCTTCCTTCCTACTCTTTCTCCTTCCCTTCTTTCATTTCATACTTGTTCCCATGTTTAAAATTCCAGTACAGGGGCTGGAGCGATAGCACAGCAGGTAGGGCATTTGCCTTGCATGCAGCCAACCCGGGTTTGATTCCCAGTATCCCATATGATTCCCTGAACACCGCCAGGAGTAATTCCTGAGTGCAGAAACAGGAGTAACCCCTGTGAATCACCGGGTATGACCCAAAAAGAAAAAATAAATAAATAAATTAGATTCCAGTATATCATCTACGCAATGGAATACTATGCAACTGTCAGGAGAGATGAAGTCATGAACTTCGCTTATAAATGGATAGACATGGAGAGTATCATGCTAAGTAAGGGAAATGAGTCAGAGAGGGACAGACATAGAAGGACTGCACTCATTTGTGGAGTATAAAACAATATAACATGAGGCTTACACCTAAGGATAGTAGATACACGGGACAGGTAGATTGCTCCATAGCTGGAAGCCTGCCTCATGAGCAAAGGAGAGAAGGCAGCTGGAATAGAGAAGGGACCCTAAGAAAATGATGGCTTGAGGAACCGGTCGGGATGGGAGATGTGTGCAGAAAGTAGATAAAGAACCAAATATGATAACCTCTCAGTGTCTGTATTGCAAACCATAATGCCCAAAAGTAGAGAGTATGGGGAATATTGTCTGCCATGGAGGCAGGGGGAGGGTGGGAAGGGGGGGTATACCGGGGATATTAGTGGTGGGGAATGTGCACAGGTGGAGGGATTGGGTGATTAATCATTGTGTGATTATAATCCAAACATGAAAGTTTGTAACTATCTCACGGTGATTCAATAAAATTAAAAAAATAATAAAAGTAAAGTAAAGGCCCTCCCGTTGATCATCGATTTGCTCGAGCGGGCCCAGTAACGTCTCCACTGGAGACTTTGTTGTTACTGTATCTGGCATATCGAATACGTCATGGGGAGCTTGCCAGGCTCTGCCGTGCGGGCGAGATACTCTCGGTAGCTTGCCGAGCTCTCTGAGAGGGGTGGAGGAATCGAACTCGGGTCAGCCATGTTGGCTGCTTGTAAGGCAAACGTCCTACCGCTGTGCTATCGCTCCAGTACAAGTATGACTATAAAAAAGATGGGGGGGTAGGGGGAATGGCAGTATTTTTATTTTCAAGAATATAATTACTGCTCTCTCCCTCTTTAATCCATTTAGTCTCTAGAAATTACCATTTATTTGATAATTTCAAATACATAGTAATTATTAGAAGTTCTCATAAGTATCTCTCATGTCACTGTTTTTTAGTTTTTTGAGCTTTTTTTTCTGTAGTATTTTTTTTCCTTAGTGGGCTATTCATTTATTTTTTAATTGAATCACAGCTTAGTAATTTCATATAGTCTCATTTGTTTATCTTGCTTCCACTTGCTTGGTTTTTCTATAGTATTTATCAAAGGAAAAGTTCGTGAAAACTATTCCAGTAATGTTCCTCTTTTTCAATATAAAAAAATGATTTCTAATATTTCAGTGTAATCATTATATTTTAAATTTCTTATTTTTTAAAAAGTCTCCTTGTTTATATTTGAAAATTACTTTTTGGTGGGGGCATAAGGTGGGGGATGGAATCACCTGGAATCAAGGGTTACTCCTGGCTTTATGCTCAGAAATTACTCTTGGCAGTGCTCAGGAGACCATATGGGGTGACCTGAGTGCAAAGCAAGTGCCCTACTCTCTGTAGTATCTCTTCTGGCCCCTGAAAATTGCTTTTGATTCAGTCATAGCTCTGCCTCACATTTTCTTAAATGTCTTAGTTACCTTGATTTGAAGCATTGCTGTTGAAAGTCTTGTAACAATCAATCTTTTCTAAAAAATTTGTTTACGAAAATCTTATATGAGTCACTTGTTCTTTTTGGCTATAAGCCCAGATGGTCTGGGTTAATTCTCAAGGATTTATCATACTTTTAGAATGAGTCAAACATTTACTTATTCTGGTAGAAATTCTTGAATTGTAGTTTCATTTATAGTTTATTATTGAGTCAGTCTTTTTTTTTTTTCTTGCAGAAGACGACAAGCCAATCTGCTTAAGGGAAAACAACTTCTTCGTGAGGGGAAAGTGTCAGAAGCTAGAGAATGTTTTACCCGTTCTATCAATATTACACATGCTATGGCTCACAAAGTAATTAAAGTAAGATGGATTAGAAATAAAGCCAACATAACTTCACTTAATCTAGCTATAAGGTTTTTATTAAATCTCAAATATGTGAGTAAAGGAAATTACTTTAACCCTAAACCTTAAAAACAAGGTATATGTGTTCATGGAGGAAGGGAATAGTTCTTTTCAATGGAAGAAAGGATTCACAGTTTTCAAGGGAGAAGTCTTCCAGTGAAGTCCTGTCTTTTTGGATCAGTAACTTAGATAAATTCCATTAACATGTTCTGCAGAGATGGGAGGGATAGATGCCTTGCTTCATCTCACCCCTCTCATAAATAGTCTTCTACACTTTCTATAACCTGCATTTCTGAGTATGCTAGAGATCTCTTGAACCAGCTTTGTCATCTCAGTATCTGGAGCTCTTAAAAGTTTTGCTTAGTTTTTTTTTTTCCTTTGCTTTCCAATAAAAATGATAATATGTCCATAACTCCAGTCTTCATTTCCCCTTTTTAAGGCCTGTATTCAAATTTTTTGGTAAATGTGTGTGATGACAGAGGTGGAACCATCTGTTTTCCAGCCTGTGGTCTTACCATCTAGTTTCTGAACTACAATAAGTGCTAATTTTTCCCCACCACCACAACCTCCTTTTAATCATTTGGGTATTTACTCTTTCTGTATAAGTGAAAGAAATAATGGAGTGCAAGAAAGGATGGAAGTATAAAGAGTGTGTTACATGTGATTGTGGGAATGTGTACATATAATGATAATCAGCCATTTAAGGGCTACTGGGGCACTGTGGGATGGGAGGACTGTTGTATTTATTTGGGGGAATGGGGGTCAGGGCTCAAAATCAGACATATTTGCATGTGCTCTGTCATTGAGCTATATATATCCCCAGCTCCAACAACCCATTTGGTTTCTTTTACTTTTGGGCCAGACCTTGCAGTACTCAGGTTCCTCCAGCCTTAGTGCTACAGAGTTGCTTCCAGAGATGCTTCAGAGGACCATGCAGTGCTGAGGATTGAACCTGGAGCCCTCACATGCACTCCCACTGTTTGAGCCATTTCCCTTCCTAAAAGCCTACTTTGACGAGAAAATTATTATTCAGAGTTCCAAACCAGCAATCTTCTATCACTAGTCCATGCCAGATCACTGAAGTAGAAAGACTGAAAACCACTGTTCTACTGCTTTGATTTTAACTGCCAGCCCCAGGCCCAGTATGTAATAATGCTGCACAAAATAACTTATACTTTTGGAGCATAACTAATTTTAGAATAGGTGCTTTCTATAGTTAGAAATAATTAAGTTGGAGCTGGAGCAATAGTACAGCAGGTAGGGCGTTTGCCTTGCACACAGCCGATCTCGGTTTGTTTCCCGGCATCCCATATGGTCCCCTGAGCACTGACAGGATTGATTCCTGAGTGCAGAGCCAGGAGTAATCCCTGAGCATCTCTGGGTGTGATCCAAAAGCCAAAAATAAAAAAAATAAAATAATTGTTTTGTAGCTTATAGCTCTTCCCTTCACTCATCTGGAATGAATAAGAATCTTTTTTCCCTCCAGATTTGTAAATGGATCTTTTTCCCCCTTCCCATTGTTAGGGTTCTCTCTGGGATTGTACTTGGTGTCAGAAATTGAACTTGGAACCTCAAGGCATGCAAAGCAGGCAATTTACCTCTGAGTCACATCCCAGGGTACCTACAAATTGATTACTAAATATCAGTGACTGTATAATTAATTGCTATATGCCAGGACTAACAATAGAAAAACTTTCGAGGAAATGATTTCTCAAAATATTACCGTGTCAATTATACTAATAATAAAATGTACCTGAAAAAGGAAGTTTTCAGCATTTTCCAGACACTGTGCTGGACATTAATGGTGATGTTTTCTTTACAGGCTGCTCGGGCTCAGGGAGTAGATTGTCTTGTAGCTCCTTATGAAGCAGATGCGCAGTTGGCCTATCTTAACAAAGTTGGTATTGTACAAGCTGTAATTACAGAGGACTCTGATCTCCTTGCTTTTGGCTGTAAAAAGGTACTTAACAAAAATTTTTACATCTCTACCTAGTTGGAAATAGTAAAATTGAAGAGCTAAAGTTTTTGCTCCCCGGGAATAATTCATTTGCAGTTGATACTTATAATGGCAATAGTTTTTGTGAAAAGAAGAGATTATATCTATAATAATGGCACTATGAAAATTTTCTGGCAGTTTCTTTGTTTTCAAAGGTTTCCCACCCCCCCCCCCCCCCCCACAATGATCAGAATTTTGTTTTGTTTTGTGGCAATACCTGTGGTTATGGTCAGGGCTTACTCTTGACTTTGCACTCAGGGGTCACTCCTGGCAATGCTCAGGAAACCATATGCAGTGCCAGGGATAGAACCCAGGTCAGCTGTGTGCAAGGCAAGCATAGCCCTCCCTGCTGTACTATTTCTCTTTCCTCTAGTCAGTATTTTAGAGGTCGTAAGCTCACTGTTTGATACCTTGAGCATTGCCAGGAATGGCGCCTAAATGTAGTCAGGTACTATGTTCCCTATCTAGCTCCCAAAGAAATAAAAGTGGAAGGTCAAGAAAATACACTTTTTGTATGAATAGTATTTGCTAACCATCACATAATTTTAGGTGTAGGCATAATGTTGAGAAGTGCCTAAAAGTTTCTTTATACCAAAGAAAGAATGACTGAACCCTAGCATATGATCTCATCTAATGTCAGCTGTTATCTTGGTTTATTATATTGTAAATTTCTAAGTAATTAACTTACACCCTAAGATATTTTAGAAATATTTAATGGGTAATGAAAAATAAAAGTGACCCTAATAGGTATTAACAGTGTTCCTTCTTAATTTAAGGTGATTTTAAAAATGGACCAGTTGGGAAATGGACTAGAAATTGATCAAGCTCGACTAGGAATGTGCAAACAACTTGGAGATGTGTTCACAGAAGAGAAGTTCCGTTATATGTGCATCCTTTCAGGTTGTGACTATCTGTCATCATTGCGTGGCATTGGATTAGCAAAGGCCTGCAAAGTATTAAGACTAGCCAATAATCCAGATATTGTAAAGGTAAGTAATTTGCCAAACGTTATATTTAGTCTTTGGACCATAAATGATAGAATAACCGCTTGAAATCACTATCACTATCACTGTTACCCCGTTGTTCATCGATTTGCTCGAGCGGGCCCAGTAACGTCTCCATTTGTCCCTGTCACGTGCTAGGGTAGCCCGATGACATACTGGGGGCTCTTTCAGGGTCAGGGGAATGAGGACCATCATTGTTACTGTTTTTGGCATATCAAGTACACTAAGGGAAGCTTGCCAGACTCTGCCGTGAGGGCGGGATACTCTTGGTGGCTTGCTGGGCTCTCCCAGAGGGATGGAGGCTTTTGGGGCAGCCTCTAATCACCTTTACAGGTGTTCCCAATCAGGCACATATGCGGGCATGATAATCTCAGTAGCCTGCTGGGTTCTCTGAGAGTGAGAATTAGAGAATAAGAGGTCGTTGGTGGGTGTAACTGTCTAGCTACTAGAAGGTGGGGGATCTGGGTGGAAGAGGCCCAGTCCCAATCTGAGCAGGCTTGGAGATCTCAGCCCCGGGTCCTGCACACCTGGGTTCCTCTGCCGGTTTCTTCATGTGTGAGGCTCGTCCAAGTGTGTGGAGAGTGGTCTCAGCATGACTTTGTCTGGGTCCCAGAGTTCTTCAGCTGCTGGGGCTCTGCTCAGGGCGGAGAGGGAAACTTAACCCGCCCTCCTCCAAGGGGCCCTGGTGAGGACAGCCAGGCACGGGTGCAGGAGACTCGGCCTTGTCTTCCTGGAGCTTGGTGGTATAGTCATATACCACTTGGAATATGAATTTTAAATATTCTGTCAGTAACCTATCTTCATTGAAAGGAGAAAATGATTAAAATAATCTTAAGTTTACTTTTTGGCAAATAATGAAAAGTATTTTGGCAAAATGTTTTCAATATGCTGGACTATGTTTACATTTTTAGGGGGACAGTTTGCCACAGTAGTTTTTCAGTATTTTTTTTTCATGTGGTCTCTACAAGGAGACTTTAAGGGGTCCAGCAAGATTTTACAGCAGGTAAGGCACTTGTCTTGCAAATGTCCGACCAGTTTTAACCCCAGCATCCCATATGATCCCCTGAGCACTTCCAGGAGTGATTCCTGAGTGCACAGCCAGGAGTAACCTCTGAGTATTGTCTGTGTGGTCCAAAAGCAAAAAGAGAGAGACTTTAAGAGGCAAAATATTCTAGGGTAGAATTCATGTTTAAAAATATATTCTGGAGGCTCGAGAGATAGTAGTGGCGTTAAGGTTCTTGCCTAGATTGCAAACCCACTCCAGCTTCCTGCCTCTGCACTAAGCACCACCTGCAGTGACCTCTGAGCAGTGCGGAGTGTGGCTCCAAGTGAAGTTACACTCTGGACCCACACAATTAATTAATATATAATAATTAATCAATAGTGTGGGTCCAGTAATATGTTCACTCATGCGGCCAGAGCATGTGGGAAGTGGCCTTCGGCATGGCAGCGGTTGAGTTGTGGAGGTTTTCGACTGCTAGGGCTGGGTGGGCTCTCATCTAGCCTCCTCTGGGGTGCCCCGAGTGAAACAGCCTGGGGTGGGGTCCGGTTGCATGGCTATCACTTATAAATAGTTTTATTTTCATTATTAGGTCATCAAGAAAATTGGACATTATCTAAAGATGAATATTGTAGTACCAGAAGATTATATCAAAGGATTTATTCGGGCCAATAATACCTTCCTTTATCAACTCGTGTTTGATCCCATCAAAAGAAAACTTATCCCTCTGAATGCCTATGAAGATGACATTGATCCAGAAACACTAAGCTATGCTGGGCGGTATCCTTTCTGAACCAGAATGGTAGAATGTATTTTATGTATTTATAGTTATATTCTCTATGAGGCATTCGATAAAAAGCTTGTAGTTTTTTTCTTTTTGATACTGAAATTTATATTTTGATCTTTTCCAGTGACATGCTAATGAAAACTTAAAGCAATATTTTGTTTATAAATCTGAGGTTTGTCCACTTTAACTTGTTAATTACCTAAGTTGACATGAGAGAAATGTGCATGGTCATCAATTTAAGTGTTTATTCCAAAGGTGGCACTAAAGAACTCAGCTGGGGCAAAGAATCACGCCCAGGAGTGTATTGGGCATGTGAAAACAAGAAGAAAGGGAGCCCTTCCCATAAGCCACTGACTTTATACATTCTGGATATTGTGACTAGTACTTTTCTTCTTGCACCATAATTAATGGATATAGGATATAGCTTAGTGGTGGAGTATAGTGATGACTTGGGCTTTTGTTTCAAAATATCCAACCCTTTTTACTACTGTGGATCAAGTAACGCTGACTGTAGAAAGTAAGTAGGATTCATTTCAGTTAAACACCTTAAAGATTTTCTGTCACAGTATTTCTATCTAAATTCAATACCATTTATTGACTTATTTAAAGCTTTTTTCCTTAATGTTACAAATCTAGGTATATTGATGATTCTATAGCTCTTCAAATAGCACTTGGAAATAAAGATATAAATACTTTTGAAGAGATTGATGACTACAATCCAGACTCTGCTGTGGTAAATAGTAATTTAAAAAATCCTAAAAGAGTACATTTAACCATTTCTCAGAAACTCAGGCAGATTTAATGTCTTGAAGCATTTCTGTATTTAGGCATTGTGCAAAGTAGCACTGTCCTCCCGTTGTTCATCAATTTGCTCGGGTGGGCCCAGTAACATTATGAGACTTACTGAAAATAACTCAATGGAGAAATTATATTTTACAACATAGATCTATTGGTTATTTTCCTTAAATAACAGTTGTTTAGGGTTACAAAAGATGGCTCAACGTGCTAGAGTATATACTTTACATGCAAGAGCCTTGACTTCCATTCCTGACTTTACATGGTCCCATCAGCACCACCATCCCCAAAGAATGGTAGCTATTTTTATGTCTTCAAACTTTTAAATTTGAACATTTCATATAAATATCACTGTATCACTGTCATCCCGTTGTTCTTCAGTTTACTCGAGCTGGCACCAGTAACGTCTCTATTCGTCCCAGCCCTGAGATTTTAGCAGCCTCTCCTTTCCCAATGATTGGAGGCTCTTTTAGGGTCAGGGTAATGAGACCCGTAATAGTTAGTGGTTTTGGCAAATTGAATACGTATTGAATATGACATGGGTAGCTTGCCAGGCTCTGCCCATGCGGGCGGAATACTCTCGGTAGCTTGCCGGGCACTGTGAGATATGTATATTTCTCTTTATGATCTGTTGCCTGCTGTCTGAATTCCAACCTGGTGTGGTAATTTTGGACAATGGGTAAGAAGTGTCCCATGATGTGTCGCATGGTCCAGAGAGTGGCCTGGAGCATGGCGGCAGTTGGGTAGTGGAGGTCAGCTGCTGGGGCTGGGTCCCTTGGGGCGAGGAGGACTCTCGCCCCCCCCCTCCCCCCCGGGGCACCCCGAGTGGAAACAGCCTGGCACGAAGTCCCATTTAAATATATTACACTTTTTTTGTTGCTTCTATTTTGGGCCATACCTGGTAGTGCTCAGAGCTTGCTCCCGATTTTGTGCTTATGAGAACCATATGAGGTGACAGAGATTGAGCCCAACCCTTGTTCAGTCATATGCAAGGCAAGCATCCTGCCCTCTTTGCTATTTTTTTGGTCCTTGAATATACTGTTTTTAATGATGTCTTTGTTTCTCTCAACCTATTTAACTTCAGTGCTGTTTATCATTGTCAACAGTCCAACTGAGAAACATTAGCCTTGGGCATAAAAGCTTTTTTTCACTTGTTCTCAATTTAGCAAATATTTCTTGAGCACACTTGCTATATGTCTTTGAGGCTTTTGACATTTTTTATTTTGTCTCAATTGAATATATGCCTTATGGCATTCTTTTTTGTTTGCTTGTAAGCTGTTCTCTTTTTGTTTGTATTTATTTTTTGCATAATTTTTTTTTTGTTTTAGTTTGGGGGCCACTCTTGGCAGTGCTGAGAGTTTACTCCAGGCTCTGCACTCAGGGATTGCTCCTGGCAGGTTAGAGAACCATATGTGATACTGGGGGATCAAACTTGGGTTGGCCACATGCAAGGCAACTCCTTGCCTGCTGTACAATCGCTCCAGCGTTGCAAAAATTTGTAGTACTTCATCCCTTTGATGGAGAAAACTTGGACTTTTTATCTCTTAGTCTCTATTCTGTGTACCACTCATAATTTTATAAAGGGTTGGAGAACCTATGTCCATTGATACAGTACTATTTTGACTCAGTAGTTGGGAATGGGGATGGGGTGGGTGCTTGTGTTTCCTGAGATCAAACTCACAACTTTGTATATGCTTAGCTTGTACTCTGCCCCTCCAATTTATTTCCCAACCTTCATAATTGTAGAGTGTCTCTCCATAAAAGATTTCCTGTAATTTTAAATATATCCAAACTTAGAAGCAAATATCATTCATTAGTTTTCTTAATAATGTTTTCCCTTTTTTGTTTACCACTTACTATGATAAAAATTCTATTTGTTTTCTTCTCAGTAGACTAATCTTTCTAAAGGCATGTTTTATTAAACTTTAATATTTTTTTACCATCTCTTTGTTTTATCATTTTTATTGAGCAACTAGGATTTACAATGCTGCTACATTTTTTTCATACATAGTCATTTAAACACAAATATCAGCAGAGTAACTGCCACTCTCCACCAGTCTCCCAAGAGTCTACTCCCCAAGTTCTGTGTTAAGCACAGTTCTATAGACAAAATCTCTATTTCCAATGACTGTAGCCATTTGTTATTTCTGTTTTGTTTTGTTTTGTTTTGTTTTGTTTTGTTTTGTTTGGGGGCCACACCAGGCAGTGTTCAGGGGTTACTCCTTTCTCTGTGATGAGATCACTCCTCACGGTGCTAAGGGGACCATATGGGATGCTGGGGATTGACCCAGGGCATGCACCCTATCTACTGTACTATCTCTCTAGCCCCTACTTGTAGTTTTACTGTGTTTTACTACTTTTTTTTATACCCCACATGAGAGTTTTTATTTTGAGATGGAGGTAGAAGTGGTGAAATCACTATACATATAGATGAATAAAGCTGAAATTCCACAAAATTATGGATCATTGATAAGTTGATAAATTTTTTTGATCCTTTCACACAGGTACATAATTTTTTTAATTATTCACGGATCACGGTCCTCCCGTTGTTCATCGATTGCTTGAGTGGGCCCAGTAACGTCTCCATCATGAGACTTGTTGTTACTGTGTTTGGCATATCGAATACGTCACGGGTAGCTTGCCAGGCTCTGCCATGCGGGCGAGATACTCTTGGTAGCTTGCCGGGCTCTCCAAGAGGGGCGGAGGAATCAAACTCGGGTCATCCATGTTGGCCGCTTGTAAGGCAAACGCCCTACCACTGTGCTATTGCTCCAGCCCTTTTAATTATTAATATGAAGAATTTTATGCTATTACATTTTAAAATTTATGTGAAATAGATAAACTTTCCAAATATACATTTGAGTAAGAATTAACTGTTAAGGGAAAAATCTGAATAGACCTATAAAATTATAAGTGTTTTATCATAAGAAAGGAAATACTGCTTTTGTGGTAAAAAAATATTATGTTAAAGATAATGTTTAAGTATCTGCAGTTATTTTCTAAAATAAAAATATAGATATTTAAAAAAAAACCTGAATAGACATAGAACATTCAATACAAATGAAGCATTCATTTATTATCTAAAAAGTATAAAATCTGTTAACAAGCTCGGAGTTAACAGACCTTAATTTAGTAGAGGGCAAGCATAAGTGCCATGACTGAATGTCATACTTAGTAGCAAAGTGCTGAGAAGTTTGTCTTGTCTTTTAAGGAAGCTCCTTTTACCATTCTTAGAAAACAGGTTTTAAGTCTATGAATTCCTTAAGCAATTGCAGTTCTGTATCATTCCTTCAAGTTTGAATGATAATCTAGCTGGGTAAAGTATTCTTGGTGAACTGTTCATTTTATTGAGATTTTGTGTGTGTGTGTTTGTTTGGTTTTGTGTTTTTGGGCCATGCAGTGGTGCTCAGGACTTACTCCTGGCTCTCTACTCAGGGATCACTTTTGGCAAAGCTTAGGGGACCATATAGGATGCTGAGGATTGAACCCAGGTCAATCCTGTGCAAGGCAAGCACCCTACCCACTATACTATTGCTGTAGTGCTCATTGAGGTGGGTTTTTGTTGTGGTGGTTTTCCTTGCTGCTTTCAGCATTCTGGTGGTTTTTTTTTGGGGGGGGGGGGTTGTTGTTGTTTTTGGCTTTTTGGGTCACACATGGCAATGCACAGGGGTTAATCGAACAGGGTCAGCTGTGTGCAAGGCAAACGCCCTACCCACTGTGCTATCACTCCAGCCCCGTGCTTTCAGTATTCTGTCTCTGTCTTTGGCTCTTGTCATTCTGATGATAATGTGTCCTGGAGTTTTTCCATTTGGTTCTATTTTTGCTAGGACCTTTTGGGCCTCTTGGATATGGGTGCCTGAACTCCTCAACACTGGGAAATTCTTGCCTAGGAATTTTTAAGCCAGTAGTTCTTTATTGAATTTGCCTTCAATGATTCATGTATCCTTCCTGAACTCATCTCATAGTTCTCTGGTATGCTGTTCATTTCATACTGTTTTTTTAATTGTCCGTTTTTAGAGGTTTTCTCCATCTCATCATGGAGCTTGAAATCTTTGACTCAACTACTGCAGTTCTGCTATTCAGACTTTCTGTCACTGTCATACTTTACATTTCTGTCACTCTTGATTGTATTTTTTCATTTACACTTTTGTGCTTTTGCTGTCTACCTGTGCCGTCTTTTCTTTGAGCTCATACTTGACCTGGTGCCACCAAAGTAGTTTATGAGATTTTATCAAATTGGTTGATACCAATAGAGCCTTTCGTGCCATTATTGAGCTACTCAGTGAGTTTGATGGACTTCTGAGTAATAATAAAATGATAATTATTATAATGTGGCTACCTCATTGTGCTGAGGGTAAGTCTTTGGAATTAGCACCTCTGGGAGTCTCTGAGGAATTAGACTGGGTGTTGCCTATGTCTTTCCCTGCTGATCTTCATCTAGCCGACTGGAGGATATGTGTGCTGTGTCAGGTATGACTGTACAGTTCAGGAGATGAGCAACTACCCTTAAAGAGTAAGAAAGGATCTGAGATGTAGGCCCTGTGGGATGGTGGAGGTCAAGCATGGAGACTGCTGGGACCCAGCTGGAAGGGAGGGGAATCTGCTTCTGTTATATAAGTGATCTCTCATTTTCTCAGATTAAGAAACTTGAAGATATGTTTGTCTGCTTTAAAAAAAAAAAAAAACGACAGTTTACAGAGTTGTTCATAATATAGTTGTTTCAGGTATTCATGTTCCAGCACCAATCCCATCATCAGTATAGCTTTCCACAGTATCCCCTCTTTTCCACCCAACCCTCCAAGCCTTCCTCCTTTGGAGGCACAAAATACTTTATACTGCTTGTTACAACAGAATGGCAAATGTAATCATAGAAAATAGTTCCATAAAAGAAAATTTATGGAATTTTTGGAGATATAACAATGAAAATTGTTACATCTC